GAGAAGCCACCTTTCCTTCTCTCACTCGCTTCCACGTCACTTTTGTTTCTTTATAGTTTATCGCACTCGTTCCGGCCGGCTTTCGCTGCGAGTGCTTCTACGTAACATGACTCATGTGGAAGCGACGCTCCAGACGTCTGGGAACACGCGGACGCTGTAAGTGACCGCGGTCGCTGCTGCAGGTGCGAGAAATGTGAGGCTGCGGTATTGTCCGTTCCTTTCAATCAGGTCGCGACGTAGTGTGCGCACTTTTTCGGTGACGAAATATTGTGCACAGCTGCGCTACCTGCGTGACTGATCGCGTATTTTAATCTATAAAGTAGGCCGAAAACCTAATTATCGGTAGCGGGTGAAAGGCACATAATACGATAGCGTTCTACGTCGGACGACATTTTCGATGGACAACTGCTGACCCGTTTGACATATCAATTCGCTCCTCGTTTATTGCAATGCTTGATGTGCACCACCGAAGTGGCGATTATCGTAGTGGCAGAGAGCATGCTTTCAATGCGGGAGGTACCAGCGGGTTCGATTCCCTGTGCCGCCATGCACCTGTCAATTTTTCTAATGGATAGAGACCTACTCCGATATGGCACGTGTGGTGTAGGACACTCATCTGTTTTTTTTTTTTCATCTTCTTTCTGTTGTATTTTCACTTGCCCCCCCCCCCCCCCCCAAATCAAGAGCAAGGCAAAAGAACTCAACCAGGGCCGTACCCACGAATTTTTTTTTTCTCGGGGTTTGGGCACATGTAGAACGGCTAAATTTGACAACTGCGGGTCGATGTGAAGGCGTGTAAATAGTTTAGTATCACCCGAAAAGTTAAAGCGTGCGAAAATTTTTAGGATGTCAGAACCCCTGAACTCCCCCCCCCCCCCCCCCCCCCTAGTTACGGCCCTGAACCAAACGCGTAAGTTCCCTGCTCCCCATACGGGACTCGCTCGTGGTTGCCAGCCAAGTTGCTTCTCACGAGCTAGTACTCAGATTCAACAGCGTGCGTCATAAAACGAAGTTTACAAAAAATTTGGCCACCATACCAACCTGGGATTGTGAATGTCTAGCGATGACCAAGGATCCGCATGCTGATGGGGCATGTTTTTATTTTTACTTTAGAGTGACATAGTAGTGATAAGCACTCTCTGGTCACTGATGTAGACTCTAAATGGTTCCGCGACCATTTTCAGCATCGTGTCGTCGAGCATGGTATTCATGCTCTTACTGTCCCGGCGTCTTTAATTTCCGTAGTCTACCCATAGGAGTCTTACAATGAACTGAACGAGCTCGCTTAGACGAGTGTTGCTTTTATATATGAAAGCGCGAAACATACGTTGGGGGAGGGGGGTAGTGACGTAATTTAAAGAACTATTGTGAAGTGCTATGCAGCTGCAGCCTAATATCTTTCCAAGAAACCCGTGGGAAAATGTTCCTATTGTTCACAGGCGCTTTATAATCCAGCATGCAGGTTTGATTCTTGTTTTGTCGTCTTATTCATTGAAACGAATGCATAGTTATATGATGTATGACTGATTGCATAGAAAGATACGACACTCACCTTCAGTTGTCAAAGGGCCCCTAACTACCCAGATGTCGAAATTTGGTTGTGGCGTTCAGATAATTGTGCAACAGGAGTGTATACACTACAGAGTTTTTGCCGTGCCCATAACTAGACACCAGAGGAAAAGGGCGTTCTCGCGTATCAAAACACCCATACCCATGCAGTCAAAACACTATTGCCACTGGCGTCACGCCCTTATAATGCAATGCCTGAACACTCTTATTACTTAAAAAAAAAAAACGAGCGAAATGAAATCTAGCAGTCAAGAAACATGCAATAACAGACAACATCAGCATAAGAGGGGCACGCACGAGTCAAATCGTACACACAAAAAGAGCGCATAGTAAGGAAAAAAATTGTCTACGGACTGAGCGTTTGCGTCATAGAGTCTTACACTGATATATATACTGTTCCGCATAAATGAACATAATAAATTAACATAATGGACATAAGTTTGTGGTGTGTTGGGATTAGCCAGGTGGCGCGGAGTCTCCTCTGCGTCTTCTCTGGACCAAAACAAAGCTTTCATCACCACCATCATTACCATCATCATAATCATGCTTGTAGATAACACTGAGATACATGTATTTTGATATAGACTCGCCTAAGACCAAATTTTTCAATTAGCGAGTCCTATTTATCGTCTCGCGCAATGTGGCGTTGGTCATGAACGTTTCGATAACCTATAACACCTCTAACTTAACTGCTAAGGGACGGTTTAACATCATCCCTTGAAGGCTACTTGTGGAAGGAAAACACCTTTGTATTCTACTTTGTGAAAAGGTCGGTTAGGCAAGAAAATATTTTGCTTGCTTAATTGAAGCCAGCTTAAGGGTGCAAATCGGTTTACAGTGTATGATGTATGACAACTATTCCTCACAAATGCGTCCCCCCCCCCCCCCAACCGGCTTTGCCCGCTCCAATAGCAAACAGTGTGAAAGACAACATTTCATTGGACATAACAAAAACACTATGCACAAGTTAAGGTTTTAGCCGTCCCCCTCCTCCTTCCTATCTGGGGGATATCGCACGTCGTCGGTGTTTCTCCCCCCCTTCTGTAAGGCAATCATGTAGCCACCCCTGCATCCACACTGCATCTGCATCGCGACAGCTGTGGCATGTGCTTGCTTCGTGGGGACGTTGACGGAAGTTTCCTGCGTGGCACACAACTGTTATCTCGGAAGGTGATAAGAGGGCTCACCGCCGCCACGATATCATCCACGTAACGAGGAAGACGACGCTGCTCCCGCGGCGAGGCTCGGCGTTATCGCTTATCGTCAGCCGTGTGTCTAGAGAGGAGAATGTGAGTCAGGTTTCCAGCGATATGCGGCAGGTGCCACTGCCGAGAGTAAGGTCTGAAGGCGCCCGTACCTCAGGGCACCTGGGATTCATTTTCGTCAACTAAGTAATAATAATTGTTGGGTTTAACGTCCCAAAACCACCATACGATTATGAGAGACGCCGTAGTGGAGGGCTCCGCAAATTTCGATCACCTGGGGTTCAACGTGCACCTATTTCTAAGCACACGGGTCGGCCTCGAGCATTTTCACCACCACCGAAAATGCAGCCGCCGCGGCTGGGATTTGATCCCGCAACCTGCAAATCAGCGGCCGACTGCCTTAGCCACTAAACCATCGCGGCGGGTCATTTTCTTCAGCTAAAGAGCTTTCTTTCGAGTAAATCTGAATGTATTTCCTTGCGTCTTTGGGCTACCGAATTGATATCCTTGTTGCCAACCGTTCCGCTTTGCTTGTAAGTGGTCAGTGATGGCCACGAGCAATAAATTTTTTCCAGTGGTGGCGACGTGGCTAGAATGAGTCTTCACTTGAAGCCAGTACTTGCTACGTCATTCATTTTTACGCCTTTCGACTCTTTACAGAGTGCCCCGTAATCGTACCTACATAAATAAACCTACGTCGGCCATATCGAACTATGAAACATATATTTTAAACTCTATCAGGGGGCGCCCTCAGAAAAAAATAAGGAAAGATGATAAGCAGGCACAATTAGTTAAGCATGTCCCCTAACGTGACCAACCAAGCACGATACAACACGCGGCTGCAAGGCGTGAAATCGGAAGACAAAGATTTGAGGTCGCAGCGAAAGCTACACATCTCGGCTAGGTTTGGAAGCATTCTTTATCCAAATAAACTTATTTTAGAGCTTTAACGGTTGTCTTAAAGAGCGCTCTACTTCCCTACTGAAATTCCGTATAATGGACGTCCGGCAAACAAAACAGTAAATGTTTACGCCCGTAGACGGCAAAATAATATTTTTGCACGAAATGTTAGACGCCTAACACATTAGCAAGATATTCTTTCGAAAAAGCCTTAATTGATGTTCCATCAAATATTTAGACCGGGATATTTACAAGTATTTACGTGTCTGTACTCGTGTAGCTGATGCAAGTAAAGCTGGCTTCCCCACACTAAATACCTTTGAAAGGAGAAGCCCGCTTTTGAAACTATACACTCGTTTTTTGCAGTAAGTCATGACGATAGTTATAGCGCGAGAACAAAACGGCGACACAGAGACAGGGACACTCTGTGTCGTCGTTTTGTTCTCGCGCTATAACTATCGTCATGCCATACCAACTAGCCCAAGCTGCCACACTTGCAGTAAGTGTTTTAGTTGCTTTTCAAAACGTATAAGCATGAAGGTGGAAAAGTGTATTTAAACAGAATTCCTACCGCGGCAATACCAAGCGTCATTTTCAGTGAATTATTCTCAAAGGCGCGTCAACGAAAATGGCGAAACATCATCATTGGTCCTGGCCTGGACCAGGTCGAAACGAAAAAGAAAAAAAAAAGCATCAAAAGCGTTTGATGCGTCGGGTGATGAATGAATAAGAACGTCCTGGGACTTCGTTGAGATTACGAGTTACAGGCAAGTACGGCAAGATAATACAACCTTTCACGCGCAGATGCAACACCTGCTGTCACATGAAACAGGCCGCTGAAATGCGGATCGATGCCCAGTTGGCTGTGTAGGGATTCGGGAGTCACTTTAACGTAAAGCTCTAAAATTTTATTATTATGATTAGTTAGTGTATGCTAAAACAATGAAAAAAGTCGCAACAACTTCGGGAGGATCGAGCACGTTCTGAAGGTGGGCAAGACCCGTGCTGGAGTGCTCAGAAACACCTTTTTCCTTCCTCCGTGGCTCAGAAAGGTTCGACCACTTGACTTTAACGTACACGGACATGTTTCACCTAGGTGGACTGTTGCAAGAACAATACTGAGCCATTAAATGAAATGGTTCGGGCATAGATGCATTTTTTCTTTAATCAATACAACGACCTGTAAGAAAAAAAATTCGGGCGACGCGCGCAAAAGCGTTATTGTAGCTGACAGCTGGCGCCGCTTTTGCTCATAGCGGCAAAACAGCCGCACTCATTTTCACTGTGCAATTCTAATGTCCCAGGTGGAATTTATGGGTAGTTTCGGCGTGTTTCGCGCGTGTGTGAGCGACCGTGCCACTTTCCTCGTCTGGTTTACGTTATTCCCGCCGACGATATGCCACCGGCACGCAGCTTAGCAATGCTTCGCGAAGTGCACTACTGCGTTCGAATATTTCCGTCCACATCGAACAGGGCGATAGCCCGCAGGATGTCTTCATTCTCCTCCAATGAAAACGGTTCGGACGCGACGGAGTTTGATGAAGGTGATCCGACTTGAGAATGCGCTTTCTCTTGCTGGCTTTCGATGCACTAATACGATCGGCGGTTGTTTCAATAAGGCAAACGACTAGTGGTGCCTGAGAAAACTGTTTGTGACTTTGCGATGTGCATCAAGCCGGAGTGAACCTCCGAAGTTATCGCTTTCGCTCGCGTTTGTTGCGCGAACATGGGTAGAACCTCTGGATTGTGTAAATCGTGAAGTGTTTTTTTTTTTTTCAGCAGATGTCACTTGTAAGTGAGCACACTGTCCCGTGTTGTTTTCTGTATTTGTTATCTTGTACTTGTTTCAGTTACGAACACGCACAAGCTCTCACAGCGTACCTTACCAAACACATACAAGCAGTAACGAAAAAAGTGATGCAGTTGTGCTTTTGTTCCAGAAATATAATGGTGACTGCAACTGGGGTGAAAAAAAAAAGGCAGGAATATGATCTTTGCTATGAAAAAAAAAAAACACGAGTGCTTGAGAATTTTGTCAAACAATGCACTAGGCTTTTTGCTGCTTGCAGTATTCTTGGCGTAAAAGCTTATTCAATAAAGGTAATCAGAATGACTGCATCGGTGCGCACATGATGGTTTGCTTGCCCGGCATGGCTGATAACTTTACTCGCGAGTCATATCCAGCTGTAATATAACAGCGCTGCCGTCTAAGCTCTGCAGTTACTGTTAAAGAAACCATGTTATGAACTGAGTTAGTACTCTACATTCGTTGTTATGCTGTTCTTCGCAGATCGGAAGTTTCGAAAGCTGGATCTCTACAAGCCAAAAGAAGCACCGAGGCAAAAGAGGGCAGAAATCAAGTTTGATGTGAGCTCTTACCTGTGTCATTAGCAGTTGCTTGTTCATAACTGCAGCTTCACAAAAACACTCACAAACTGCTTTTAAGACAAGGGGAGTGGATAATGACAATAATTTACTGCTGTTCATTGTGTTGGAGTGATCGACCGCGTGTTTAAAAAAAGGTTCGCACCAGTAAGCTTGTTTTTGTTTTGCATGCACTGAATGTAGCAGCATTGCGGCACATCTTTGTGATGTGTTCTGCGTTTTGTTTGCATTGGTTCATGTGTTTCAGCTAAGTAGTCACATTCGTATAGAAATGTATTGGACTGCACATTTAAAATGGCATGTTTAATTTTTGTGAGTATTTGTAAAGGCTGAGTTTCCTTGATGTGCCATGCTTTTGTAACTTTTCAAATGTTTAATTTGTCATTCACAAAATAAACTGGAACAGGCAGAAGTTGCTAGCCGTTCAGTATAAAGGAAAAAAAAAGCTGTTTCAAATAATAAATGTGCAATTAATGAGATACTAGTCTAAAATTTTCCTGTGCAAGTCAGTGCAAAAGCATGGAAACATTTAGAATGAGAATGTTTGTTCCAGATGAAGCTAACCCATCATTGCCAGTAAATTTTCTATTACCTGCCTTTGGTAGTCATGAGTTTCTAATCACTGACATGGTTCAGTGTTTGTAATGCTATTGTGCCGCAAACCAGCTTCCAGAAGAGCAACGGCATAGGCCTTTTGGGCAATTTAGAAAGATAAATTGCACATATAAGGCATGGACTGTACCAATAGGTTGAAACATAATTTAAGGCTAAGTAGTGCATATACTTTTGTTTCTGCTGCCTTTAGTTGGTGTCATATTGGCACAGTTTCCACTTGAATACTTATATCATAGCAAGGATTACCTTTAATGGCCAGGTTCATAGCAACATGACATGGTTATGACACATAGCAACGTGACGTTGCAAATCAGTTCTGCGATATTCAGCAAGGTGGCAGAGTAGTTAATAAAGGGAACTTAGCGACCACCAATATGTAGTAGGAAGAAGACTAAAAAAAATTCTTAGATTTTTCAGAAAATTTTTTTGTTGCCAAAAAATTAGTCCTGGTCTGGTGTTAAAACCAGGGACCAATGCCTCTTTGGAGTGGTTGCTCTACCAGTGTGACTAGTCTGAGCAACTGCCCATACCAGTCATTTTACCAAAAAGTTTGGTGTGGCATTTTAGTCCATGAGGACCATATGATTGCAGTATGCAGCCAGGCTTGACTGCAGCTAAAAAAATTCTGTGTGCAGGAACGTGACAATGATGGGCTAGTTGGCAGGGGTTCATGGTAAAAGATGGTAGGCACACTAGTACGCACAAAAGAGAGAAGTATAGACAACACAAACTTCGTGTTGTCCCTTATATCTACGGTTGCACGCGTACCATCTTTTATTATGGACATGCCTGCTGTTTGCGCATGCAGTTCATTATTCTTGTAACACACTCCTGGAACAGGTTCCGCAACCACGAAGCGAGCGCATGCCAGTGGACCAAGACTGGACCAGCGTATGGCCCACGGCACAGTCCTTTCGGCCCTCAGTGGTGCCACTTCCGCTGCGCCAAGGCTATCGCGAGAAGGGGGCACCGCCGGGCAAGTATGCCAACCTGGAGTTAATGAAGGTGCCCAACTTCCTTCACCTGACACCCGCTCACCTCGCCAAGCACGCCAAGGTTCTCCGGCGTGAGTAGGCTCCACCTCAAATCTTGAGCTTAGTTAGGTGACACTTTTTTGTATATCTGAACAAAAGAGGGTAATTGATTGAAGGCTCATTTCTTTTTGTTTGACACAGGCTAATGAAACCAACAAACGGTGAAGCTGAGTAAAGTATAGGGGGCACTACTTGTACATTTCAGCTGTAGTAGTAGTAGTAGTAGTAGTAGCAATTATGACATGAAAAATAGAAAGGAATTAGAGTGCATAAAGAATTCATGCACTCTCTAGCACGCTGTGCATGAATTTGTGAATTAATGCAACTACTACACGTTTTTATCTTCCTTAACCACAGTTTTGAAAAAATGGGGGCCAATTATAGTGTACTCATTTACGAAACAAAGGTGTTTGTTGTGCCTGGACTCAACTGCTGCCATGTACTGTTTTCGAATTTGCATTATATCCAATGTGTATTTCATTATGTATCATGTTGTGTATAGGCAGAGAGTAAGGAGGAGGGGGGGGGGGGGGGCTGGGTGGCTCAGGCCTCCTCCGGGCTGCTTCACGAGTGCAGAAGCCCCCCCCCCCCCCCATCCCCCCGGCACTGGCCCGGGATACCTTTTCAAGAGTTTGGCTTAGGCTCTCGTCCATTGCCAACGGACCGTTGGTCAACCTGTCTAGCAGCAGCTCTTTCACAGGGGACTTCTTTTGCCCACTCCTTTTCCTTTCAGGCTTTTAAAATTTGGATCATGAGTCATTGGCAAGTAAGGGGTCTGGCGCCATGGTCACATTGAGAACGAAATAGCAGGAAGGCGAAAATTGCGGAATCTGCATAGCTCTTGTGCTAAATAGGTACCGAATGTACGCATCCAGAGAATGAAACTTAATATTTTACGAAGCAGACACCTTTTCTTATTCTCTTAATACTTTTGATAGGTCTTTCTCTATCAATATATATAACCACTTCCGATAATACGAAAAGTCTGTGCCTATAATGGTGTGACTGTACTTCTCTTCTTGGCGTACTATTGATAAAGACTTCTTGATTTGGCCACAAAAGGTACAGCCTTGGTCAAGAGTTCCCAGGCCACACTTCCATAGAAGTACATGGGATAAACTTTTGAACCCCCTGTGCATATGTCCCCATGGTCAGTTTGTCACTACACTCAAGCCTCAATACTATATTTAACAAACATGGATATAATAGATTATAGTCTATGGAAGCGCATTCACGTCATATGTACGTACAGTGTTGCATAATGGCATTTGTAACAAATTTTTTAATAAAAGAAAGTTATTTTTATCTGACATGCGACTGTTGTAAGGAGTGCATGTCACACGTAGTATTTGTGCGAAATCAATTGCGACAGGTATGACAGAGCAAATTCGTATTTCAGTGTCATGAAGAGATCTTACACTGCAGCACATTATGCTCTAATTTCACAGCATTCTGCACCCCATGGCCAGCTGGCCTGGAGACTGATGAAAAATGTGAGGAGCACTTTCCCGTGGAAGTCATCGACAGTGACTACTGCCATGCTGGCCCATCCATCAGGGACCCCAGATCCAGGATTGTCACACTGAGGGTATGATGCCACCACTCTCTTTCACTCGCTTGCGTTCCCTTATTTTCTTTTTTCTTTAAGCATTATACTAATTTTGGCTTTTAGTGTGCTGTTATGAATTTGTATGGGATATTTCCAGTGACATAAAAACACGGGAAAGCTGCAGTGATATTTATGCATAGAATGTGAGTAGCCATGTATCGTGGTTCAGTTGGCTGCAGGCAATGATGCTGGTGTTGCATTCACATCCAGGTGGCAATGAAATGCGGCAGTGCAAAATTACGGGTGACCTCCATCAAAGATCAGATTGCTGTGTCAGAAGATGCTGATATCCAACAAGGTTCAATATGCATGTGAACGGCACCCCTTTGAGAGCCACATTTCGAGGGCCAGTGCCAGGTTTTTCACATCATATAACGAAATCTGTTAGCTGTAAAAACTGCTTTAAAAAAAGATATATTTCTACTTAGTACACATCTTAAATCGGACACCCTGACAGGAACACATCTTTAACTTGCCAACTAATGCAATTTCAAAAATTACACACCCATGTATTTGTATTTCAGTTTATAAAACAGCATAATCAACATGACGTGTGTATGTTCACTGAAATAAGACATTATCATACGCATTTTAAAAATATGCATGCTTGTGCAAATGATACAGTTATGTACATTCCTTGAGGAGTTTCTTTATAGCTGCTTATGAATTTTCAGGTGAAGCTGTCCGACTTGGAACTCGACTATCATGCGAGGGATAAGCTCCTTCGGTTGGTTCGTGACCGCTACGACCCTGCTACCGACGTTCTCACCATTGTCACTGACAGGTAGGTCATACCGATGACAGTTCGCTTTTGTTTCTTTCTTTGCTCTTTAATTATAAACTAGTAGTCAGTAAGTAAAATATTATTGCGTCTGTTCACTTTTACAGCCGTCATAGTTATAAACTGTGTTGCTCTGCCATTTTTCACATTCACACACCTGCCAACCTTCTTAAAAACCAACTGCATGTGCCTAAAGTGGCATAGGATACATGTGCACTTCATTTACACTGATCCTCGGATAACTGCGGTGCAGAAGTGGCAACAATAGCGATTGACAAGCAGCGAATTGTTTTTAGGTCACTATATTGTCACAGGAGAGGGATTATTCAAAGAGAATGTATTTACAAAATATACAGACAGAGAGAGAGAGAAAATCAGGTGCAGCCTAAATGGAAGAACAGCAGCAACACAGGCTTTGCTGCCACTGATCTGACTTGTTTCAGTAACTTGCTTTAACAAGGTTGAGGAGCATACTCTACTGCCATAGGCGAAATGGCTATTGCTTCTCATGCACTTTTTCTCCTTTTTTTGCAATATCGCCCTGCCGAATCTTCAATACTTAAAAACGTTCTTGTAGCCAGAACATACTTTTCACAGAATGTGATGAAACCTTCATAAAGCTAGCCCAAGTTTGTAAACTTGGAATATTCGAATCTTTTTCCCCCACGGCAGCTGCTTTTTTTCACTTAGTTGTTGGGATAAAAATAAAATTTAAGAACAGTCTCTCTAACTGCTCACACACATCACGACATACATGCGTGCAGTCTTGCATTTGGAGAGTTCGGAAGTCCTCATTTTAGCATATGCACAAGAGTCATGCGGCTTGCTTATTGTGATAAATTCTTAAAGCAGCCTTGCACACTGCCCAAGTAGATAGGCCTAAATAAACACTCTAAAATGACCAGTCAAGGTTGACATAAGCTACATTTCACTTAGCCATAATCCTAAGTATTGCTGACTTTGTGAAGGCACCTAGGTGTCTCCATGCGCAGAGTTTAAGAACTGGCATGCTTGTGCAGATTACGCATGAGCATACACACATACACACATGCGCACAGAGACAGACAGGCTGTCTCAGAGTTTGAAGTGCATTGCGAGTATGTACTAGGTTCACAAGTAAAGACATGCTGCGGCCTACATCTTCAGATTTGCTATGCTCTAATGTCATAACTGGTATTGTCATGGCTGAATGAATTGTGGTACGCAATACTGCATGTTGTACAGTCGCTTTTGACTGTGTGTATACTATGTAGTACATGTGAACGCAACTGTTTCCATTGTGCTTGTGTTCTAGGTGTCCACTAAAGAAGCAGAACTATGATTACGCCCATTACCTTCTCACAGCTGTGTACCACGAATCTTGGGTGAGTCTTGTGGTCAGTCATGTCCGTAGTACCGTAAATAGATTGCTGGCTTGTCTGTAAGGTACTACTATGAAAGTGAAAGTCGACAGCCACCTTTTTGCAGCACCAAGCTACAGTGAAATCCGTATATATTCGTCAGAAACAAGGCGTCTTAGCCGACGAAAAATTCGTCTGGGTCCAATTATTGAACCCAGGACCAGTGCCATTCTGGGACGGTCACTTGCCGATTGAGCTGCACTGGATGCTAGCAAGTGAGAGTGCGAGGGCCAATTAGTCAGAAACTCAAAGCACATGGGAACAGAATATTGTATTGTATATCGCAGAACTGTTTAGTAATTTTAAGCTTATAACTGTTTATAAATTTTTCAGATTAGCCTTGAAAGCTGTAGCAACATCTTCAAATGTTTTGTTGAAATATGAAACAATAAAAAAATTTTTGTGTGGTGTGAGTACTATTTTCTAGTACCATAATCGAGTTCAAATCATAAAAAAAAACTGAATGTTAACAGTTATGCGACTACTAAACAACAATTAAGTCCAATATGGTAGATCAATGTAGTGCCCTCTAGTTAAATAAAACTTTTATCACAAGATGTTGCTACTACACATTTTTCTAATAAATTCGCTATTTCTTAAACAGCAATACACTTTCAAACAAGCTAAAACTGCAGTGTTATAAACACTTTGTAGACATTGACGACCCTTTTCTGCATTTAGTCATCATGCCTACCGACAGCATCACTGCTGCATCTGTTAAGGAAGTCACATTTGTGTGCAAGCAGGTGTGCATACAGAAGTCTTTCCTTAGCTCATGTTTCAACTCATTTGTGTAATTCCACTTGACATTTTAATTCAAGGACAAATGCTTTGCTTTTGTAACTGCCAAAAATGGAGGCATGGCTTTCTTTTAATTTGCATGGATATAGCATTCGCAGCAGCATAAGGTATCATGGTATTGAAGCACATCCTTGGTGAAGCTTCGTGAAAAATTTATCTCTACAGTGACGTTTCTGTATGTTTTCGTGCACAATAAGTTACAATGCAGCAGAGTCTTCTACCTTCAGATGCCTACTAGCTGCTTTGCATGTCACTTCTTTGTAATTTTCTAAATTCTGAGAGGAAGAGACCTTATTCAGATCTAACATAAATTCAAAGTCCCAGCTGTGAACCTGTTCGAGCATTATGCAATGTTCACGAGCCGTGAAGTGTGAAAGGCCGAACAAGGGCCCTCACGGTTGCACAGAGTCTGTTTTCATCGTGTGTGCGAGGCTAGCACAGAAGTTCTGTCTCTTGCAAACACAGAAAACAGAGCCATGGGAAGCAGACAAGGCCGAGTCTGACATGGAGTGCTACTTGTGGGAAAAGAGCCGGTCGGAAGCCAATGCAGTTGGCTTTTTCAAACGTATGCAGCAGTCACTGGCCGGTCAGGTAAGGCTGTCACTACACCAAATTAGCCAGAGCATGCAACCATAATGTGTCACTAGTCATGTAGAGCAGCAAAACAGTAGTAGGGACCAATTTGAACACATCCGTGCTTCTTACTTCATTAAAAATGTACCTACAAGACAATTTTCAGTTGTCTTTCTCCTGTTTTTTCATCAGATGGAAAACCAAACCCTCAGGAGCCTATAAAATGTACTAAGCTTGAGTACACCCCAATAAAGTAAATACATTATGTTTTTCAAGGCTCATTTGGGTTCCTACTGTATCCTGGTGTCACAAGATGGTATGAATGTTTTGTCACGTGCTTGCACGAGATATCGTGACATTTACACAGCCGCTCCCCTCCGTGGCTCTGTTGGTGATGCACAAAAGACCAATTTTGAAAGTTTTGTTGGCACCTGATGTCATCGTAACTAACCATACTGGTTACGTGAAGTCGCCAGAATAGACGCTGCAGCCGGACGTCAGAACAGTGTCAATGTCATTAGGTGTGCCATGTGAAAATCAACTTTAGTGTCAATATAAGATATCTTATTAACCTTTACTGGGATTTATGTTTGCTTGAAGCAGTCTTTATATAGAGGCGGATAGTGGCATGGCAGAGTGAACTTGCCTTCCAAAATTGGCATCGGTACCCCTTTAATTTGCACTCAATGCAACCTCATCCTTATGTACCTTTCCATGGCCATTTGTTTAGCACAAAGATTTAACAAGCTCATACTGTGTTTCTCCCTTGTAGGAAGAAATCACCCACCCCCACATACAGCATCTGCCACGAGATTGCACAGATGACGACGTCAAGGGTGTCGCTCAAGTGAAGGACTATGCCGAGGCCGTGTGCGGGATTCACAATGAGGGAGAAAGCCTGCAGTCGTGGGACAAGTACAAGCGCTCAGTGTGCTCGCTGTTAGGCCTAAAACACAGTGAGCTCAGTTCGCTGGCTGGGGAAGTGCACGCATCATGAACACTTCACAAGTTGGACATCGCAGTTAGATGTGGCTGCAAGGTTCTTCAAATGGCATAGTAAAGGAACTGCACTGTAAAAGAGACTGTGCCTGGTACCTCAAGCCTGCTCGCAAAACAATGTTAACAGTGCCATCACTGTTGCTTGTCGCTGTAGAATAATAAAATATCTTGAGTTGTTACACAACATGTTGTGAATTGATGACTGGCTTTCTTTTAAACACTCGCACAAAGGTGTACTGACAAGCCATTTCGAACTTTTAATTTTGTGTTAGATTTAGTTCTTGAGGCTTCTTAGATACTCTACTATAGTACTAACTTAAATTGCACAATGCCGGCTTCGATGCATGTGTGTGAAAGTTATGTCAGAGCAGAACAATGTGATGTTCTGACACTTGCTGCAGCTCGCTCAGTAGTGTGTTATGTTGCTGCTCACTGCATGGATAGGTGTGGCAAAAACTTGAAAGCGTTGATGCGTAACAATAATGCAATGTACAATGATATAGTCCTTTAAAAAATATATACAAACATGAGTACCATGAGAGTTATCGAGTTTGTTTGAAGGAAACTAAACAAGAGGCAAGAAATTATCTTTTAAAAGCAAATTCTAGTTTCGCAGAACTGGAAAGCACAATTCTTGCCGCAATATAATACCTAGAAAGCTAGAAGATGCGTAGAAAGGCGTTTGCTCAAAATAAAAAAAAGAACAATTGAAGAAAAACGTATCGCTATTGGAAACAACTAAAAAGGATGGCATTTTTGTCTAGCGATTGGTGCAGATATAAATGCTGTGCTGAATGTAGCTCCACTACTATGTTGTGCGGGCGCTTAGCGATTCGTGTCTGTAGAGTTCCCACTTCTCTGTTTACCAAACCGCCGATGAAGCTAATGTTTAAGGTAAGTACGTATGGTTTGCCCGGTATGAAAAGAATTTTGTATGGGACATTTGTAAACTTTGTGTTCAACATGCGCGCTACTTCTTGGAGCGCTTTATCAACTTTCTGCTTGTTACAGTTGTTGAGAAACGTGCTGTCTGCAGCGGGTGCTGTGAGGTTGTGTCCCCCTTCAAATGTAGCAACCAAGCTCTGGCGAAGCGCCCGTGGGAGCTAGGAGCGATCGTGCGCTTTGCGAAATGGCAGCACCCTCTCTTCCGCAGCGCAGGAGTAAACTGCACGAGTCTGTACCATTCTTAGCGATTTTAAATTAATGATCGCAATCACTTGTTTGTTGTTAATTACATTATTTTAGACATTCCCTGTTTTATCCTAGTTTGTAGCGTTGCAAAGCTTGTAAGCTTGTAATGATCATTAAGTGTGGTCATGCCACACGTGATCTACAGATTACAAGCTGGGCCCGTAGGGTACTACACAGATGAAAGCGACACTGCTTCGTGGTTTCCGCCCTAACTCGCTGTGACGTCATAAATTCTCATGGTGTATGATGGGGCCCACACATGGAGGAAGAAAACAACTTCCTTCCCTCGTGGTCCCACATGATTTTCTGTCGCTCATAATTGGCAACATTGTGCTGTAATACATCCAGAGACTCACGGAGGAAGGAAAGATGTGCAGAGACTTGACTTGGCAAGTTTCACGCAATTACAATGTTACCAAAATACGACAAAATGCGTGACGTCACGTTGGCATCCAGGTGACGTATTACAGCGCAAAATTTAAAAATAACATTTTGATTTTCTTTGAAAAAACGAATTAGTGGTGGCGTGAAAGAATAATTCATAACTTCACATTGATCTGGGCAAATTTGAGCTTCACTTGAAATAAAGAAAGTAGAAAAATCGCGTTCGATCGTGCGCCGCCGATGATGCGACTAGTAAGCTCTAGACCAGCGACGCAACGTTGAGAAGCATATAAATAAAGCGCGCAAAAAAATGGATAGTTCCGTTGTTGCTCTTTACGTAAGTACCAGTGGTGCGAGAGAAACGCTTCAAATTGGCGTGGAATAAAACTTGTTCAGGCAACAGGGGCGGCCGTCATGGCCGCGCCCTGCTAAAGTAAAAAAAAAAATTCTTGTCTGACCGTGTGCCTGACAATCCTACACGGTTTTCATGGTCAGCAGCCCTGCACCAAGTACTGGCAAGCGTGATGGGAATGTCATCGAGTAGCACCGGCATGAAAAGTAGTAAACGAAACTTGATGGAACCGAGATGAGGTTAGTATTAAGCCACCGATCACGATTGTAGCGTGCAGCATTCGGCGAATCTTCGGTATCCAGAGTCTGTTCTGGCTCTACATTTCACGCGCTTCCTGTACGATAGTTTCTAGCAACTAACAAACTCACTCGCTCGAGCAAAGACTGGAGCGCGAAATGATTGGTCAGATGTTTCGGACATGAAGCAGGTTTTCGTAAGCATGCACCATCGAGTCGTGGCTAAAAACGAACACCAAAAAAGAGCACCTACTTGATGCATTCATAATCCAAACGGTGAAATGCGGATATGTCCCGAACGAGGCGCTAGTATCATGCGCGAAAGTACAAAGACGAAATGCGTGATAAACATCACTGCAGTTGCATTTTGGGAACCACTCCCAATGCGCCCCTCCTCGAGAAATCGCTTAACGACTGGGTCCGTGCATTTGTCTTGCTCGCACATGATGCGACTGCCGAATCAAAAGCTTTTAGTTAACAGTTCTCGTTTCGGTCAATGCGAGTTTCAACTCGTTTATGATAATCTAAAACACCTGGATCATAACAGGGAAATTGTATAAATCAACTTTGTATCAGAAATAGCTTGGCGTACTTCATGCCACAAGCTAGCTACGAAACACAAACGTATGTTTTAGAGATGCATGCCAATCTGCCTACTAACAAATTGCAGAGAAAGAAGCTACGTATAAATAAGTTTACGGGTGATTTGCGTGCTATTGGCCGAATCGGTAGGCTCTACAGTGTGTAAGAGCTTTCACAAATTCATAAATTTCAGGAGTCGCTTTATCATTTAAACATTTGCGGAATACATGTAAAAAAAAAAAAAACGCACCATGCTTGAGCTACTCCAACAGATCTCGCATCGGCAATATATCTAGCCAATAGCCATGTTGCTGTGTTCTCTATTGATTTGTGCCACTGAATCACTCCGCAGTTCTAACAGCACTTTTTAATGGAATACCCAAATATTTGTCTTGTTATCAATGTGGGGCACATCCACCACAAAACACTGAAGTTCAGCAATGATGAATGTTAACTAGTCGGCAGTCTTGGTGAACACGATACACCTAGAGTATTGGTGGGGAAAGAAATGCAGGGTGGAATTGGCATAAGGAACATTACAAAGCACAGATAAAAAATCCATTGACATGGGACGTCACCAGACAAACAGTCCCGTCTTCCTCAAGGCCCTTCTACCCTTTCGTTACGAATCCCCCACACAACCCACTCATTTTTTTTTTAGCTGACTGTGTCCTCTTTCTTTTTGACTTGTACGATTCAGCACACCAGTTCTTTCTCTTTCCCAGTTGCAGCCAGCCTTGAAAAAGTCAAGACTGCTTGATGAAACATAAGCTTCAGTGACACCCCACACTCGCAAATTTTTTCTTTTCTTCAAGCTTTATCTTCCGCTTATGCCTTTTTTTAATTTACAAAGTGAGGCAGTACGGTAATATAATTAGGTGCGACTATTTACTGACGTTTTGCCCCAAGAAAGATGCCATTAACTACCACTGATCAGGTGCATTGTATCCTCGCACAATATCTCGCAGTTGCAGCTGGCGGAGGGTTGTGCCAACACCGCGCACCCTCACCCTCTTTCTGGTACTGTTTGGCTTTGGGCTGGTGCTGTTCATCTACCTTCCGCGATCGTTCGAGGAACGCCTGGTCCGATCGCCGCGCCGAAGAATTCCAGTGCTGCTAGCATACGAAGGCGAAGCAGAGGTGCACACATTCTTCTGTGACACCCACACGACGCAGTGCCCACGCATCGAGTTCACACCGGCGTCCGGGTGGCAGGGAGGGATACCGGGTGTACCTGACCTGCACCTGCTCTCTGCCCACTACGACACTCGCGTATGGGTGCATGGTGGAAAAAATCGGCATTATGTCAGGCTACTTGGTGTCATCAAATCGGAAGATGCAGACTCCCTCCGCTTCTTCTGCCAGATGTGGTGAGCACAGTGAAGCTGTTCGTGGTTGAGTCTTTCATGTTCATGCACCATTATAGATTGTAGGGAGACTTACCCACAGAAAATGGGTTGAAGTTCTATTTATATTATGAATTAGCTCATGGTGCATTAAACCTTTGATGCAAGTCCTACTGTAATGTTCTGCATGCTTTGTTTATTACTTGATATGACCCCTACTGAAACTCTTACAATATTCCTCATGAATGTTTTGATTATAATGTAATATGCATGTTTATTTGAACGTTGTATGTTGTCGTGCCAATGTAAGGGTCTTCAGGGATTAAGTTAAGCTGCCTAGAGCAGCTTTTTGTCCTGAAGACCATTCTGAAGTTTCTGGAAAAATGAACTGTTGATTGATTGACTGAAACGGCGAGATTTGCCTGGTAGCTATGGAGATTTTTTTCAAGTGAGTGCCATATTCATGCCGGTTATTGGTGTGCAGGTACCAGGAGCTGCCACATCCCATAGTTGTGGAATCCGATCGCACCGAAATATGGCTTCCAGCGTGGGACGGGCGTGCCCCGCCTGGCCGCTACTACCGGCCTTTTGTCTTCTCCTGCCCTGTGCCATTTAATGTCTCTAGTCCTCTCAGCACTGGTCCTGCCAATGTTTCGCTCGTTGCCGAGCCCTGTGCCTGCCCTCCCAATTCTTTAGCTCTCTCGAAGACTCCCGAGAAAGACCCGAAACGTGGGATCGCAGTGTGTGTTAAGGGGCTTGACTTTTCCGAAGACATCTCTGCCCGCCTGGTGGAATGGCTAGAGCTCCAGTTTCTTCTAGGTGCCGACACGGTGTTCTTCTACATCTTCCAGGTAATGCCTAGGGCAGTCTTAAAGGGCCAGTAAACAGGCTCCAACGTTTTTTTACATCCCTCAAACGTGCTCACCAATTCATAAAATAGACCGCAGCGACCGCATTTTCCGAATGTTACAGTGCTGTGCACCACAAAGACCCTCCGTTTCGTAAAACAGTTCCTGGCCCCCTTTCCTTTGGCTGTCGCAAAAGTGTCACAGTGCACCTTAAAAGTTTACTGGTGTCTTAGGACTGCTTGATTCAAGCAAGTAGTGTCAAAACTATTGATCATGAACACTGTTTTTGGTTTTCCATTTGTGGGCGATATTGCATTTTGAGTCGTGTGCCATGATTTTGTAAAAGTGCAGCATCTTCATGAAATGTTTTTTCGATAAACGTTGGAAGTTAATAATCCATAACTTTTGTGTAATGGAAAAGGAGAAAGTAAGCATAGTGACATATACACAGAAAAAGATTCACAAAAGCTTTGGGTGGAAAGGGTGCCTTGTACAAGTTTACAACAAATCAGGTTTATGCAAATGTAGTTAATAAGTAAAGTTGTTACCTTGTGTACGCACAACAAAAATGAGAACTTAGACACAGTACAACTTGGATATAATTATTGACAAATGAACTCTACAAAACATAATAAAATCACACATTGTAAGTTGAATAACTATAAAAATAAATCCCTTTTAAAACTGCCGATAATATGAGAGAGCTAGTTGTTTACAATTGACATTTAGTTCTCCAATATTGTGCACGTGTTTTTCAGAATGGAAAAATGCAACTTTGCAGCTGCCAATATCTAACGTATCACAGCTACAATGCACGTAGCTGGAAATCTGCCTCTATAGTATAAGCTTTTGAATTAACACTCACTCAAGCATACAACTTCTCGCAAAGTTTATAATTGCAAGCATGACGGTTCCACATAGAGTCTGTCCATGTAAGCTTTTGTGTTTGTTTTGAGTGCTTGAATTTTTTTAAAGTACAATTGGTACAATTCTTAGTACAGAATTCGAAAGCTGTAAAATTGCGATCTTGAAACCACAGTATGATGCGATGATCAAGTAAATACCTACAAAACACTATTGTAATCACTGTTGAGTATTTTATGAGCTTCCTGCGGCTGCTTTGTGATGTACACAAGTAAATAAATGCACAATCCAAGTTTTCATTTATATAAGGGCTCGGTTACACCTGCAGCTGCCACTGTTTATGTGACCATTTTTGACTGGCCTCCAAGAAGTGACTCTGCCCATCTTACTGTTCACACCTCGTGCGGACCATACCGATTGTCACACACAATTCAGAACTGCTCACATTGCCATGGCCCCATAAAATAAGGCGGCATCCTGTTTCTGCATATCCAATTGGTTTAGAGGTTTGTGGCTGCAGTTGTGTCACGGAAAAATTTAGCAGCTAGTGACTGATCTAAAGTAGTCACTTTGCGACCTCAGTGGCCATTTGCAACCGTTTGTGACAAAATGCTCTGTGACTAACTTGGTGGCGTGACCAGTGCTAGTCGCAGGTGTGTACTAGCCTTTAGCATTTGGTAGGTAACAGCGAATTTGGCTTGCAGGTGCATCCAAAGGTGGACCTCATCCTGCGCTACTACCGCCGGTTTCGTCGGGTCCAATTCGAAAGAATCCAACTGCCGGGTTCGGACGAGCCGCACATTCCAGCCAAGCGGAGGCAGTACCTCGCTAACAACACGTGGCAGAAGCGCCGGGCACGAACTGGTCCCTTACAACGACTGCTATTACCGACACATCCCGACCCACGAGTTTGTCCTTCTCGTCGACATCGACGAAGTTGTTCTGCCGCGCCGGCACTCAACCTGGCAGGAGCTGCTCGACGACATCGTCTCTGCCAAGCCTAAAATGCTGGCGACGTATGCCTCCCTGGCCGTGCCCAACACCTACTTTTTCGACCACTTTGAGCGTGAGAAGAGCTGGTCCTGGTTTCTCAGTCGTGTTACGAGATCAGCCAATTTCACCCGGCCCGGGTTTGCGGTGAAGAGTTTCTTTACCACAAATTCCTCCCTGGCCGTGTTTAACCATTACACTCTTGTCCCACTCTATGGAAAGCTCCAGCGAACCGTCCTGTTAAGCAAGAAGGACGTGCAGCTAAACCACTACAGAGCGAAATGTCCTGCTGAAATGGAAACCCTGTGTAAGGATGACTATTTCCGCTTTACTGTGAAGGATAAGACGTTATGGAAGCTCGAGAGCAAGTTTCTGAGTAAAGTTAAAGAAACAAAGGAAGGTCTGAGAACAAAGTTTCTTGTTCACGTTGGAAAAGAGGGCACCAGTTAATGCCATCACAAAGTACCAGTTAGCTCAATATCTGTAGTGCAAAGTGTCATAATTAAGAATTCTGCACTGAAGCCGAACGAGGCCAAGTTAGATTATACTTTAACATAGAAAACTTTCGCTCACAAGACTGCTAGAAAAGGTTGCGAACGAAATCTAAGAGCGAAAAAGGCCATTCATGAGTTAAGTTTCTGTGTTGTACCCACATTAGCAATATCGTAAACAACGGTCATGTGAGAAATCTGAAATACTTGGTATAACTTTACTTTGGCAATGATGAATTTTTAAATATTATTCAAAAACCAACAGCGATGAAATTAGGTAAAGCTTAAGGGCTGGACAGTGTCCTTCCTTGTGGTCAGCGGATGTGACAAAAATCCCAGACCCCGCCACGAAGATGTTTAGCGCAGTGCAATTCCTTGCGATCTCCAAGGTAATTTTCAAGAGTTGACCACACTGGTTCTTCTTGCAGAGCGGGCTGTATTCTGTACAGCTTTGCTTTTAAAATTGTAAATACTTGGTAGCACTTCGTTATCCATCCACTCAAACTTCAAACTGTACGACTGAACACGGTGGGGCGTTTCGAACCTACAAGTCACAAACTGACCTTTTTATGCATTTTTGAATTTTCTTGCAGTGGGCCTTTAAAAGGCAACAGATGTCTTGCTTTTGTTATGCTCACTGCACCTTATCATGAGTGCAGAATTTAAAGAACAGTGTGCGAAAGTACTGTTTTCACCTCACCCAATCGGGCCATGCCATCTCTTTTCAGAAATGTGATACGAGTCACCAGGTACATAGTGTAGGCTTTCTGTGATAGTGAATCGCAAACATAATAGTGTTGGTGCTGCTAAAAACTTTAACTAGTGAAGAGACAACAGAAGTCTGCATTTCTCAAGCTTTTACATCCACTTATGATACTTATGTTGCTTATGATATTTTAGTCATGACAATGAGCTTAGTCCATAGATCAATTTCCATAAGTGCTGATTTTGGCACTACGTGCATGTTAGAATGCAAGTTTATGAGCAAGAATTTGCAATTACTATAAAACACTGGCATGCAGACTTTGTCAGAATAGCTAAGGCTGTACTACTGATACTTTCCTTCAACATACAGGGAGAAATGCAGGAAGAGCCCTTCATAAGGTTAATATCACTCCGATTCTAAGAACAATATTTACGATTCTAAAACTCGCAAAGGTAAAATTCCAAGTTCTCAATATTTTTTTTACATATAGCCAGCTGCAGAGATGGAGCTGCGCTCTCCCCACATGTTCGATCACGAAAACCACCGGTGGACTCGAGGCACCACTTTAGTTTCGTGCCACAGAGATGGGCCCAGCTCTTGGCCAAGACACTGGATTTTATACGGCATTGCAGTGTCTAACACCATGTGCCCATTTTTGTGCAGCATTACTCACTGTCAAATCACGGGCCATTACACCCACCTGTCTGGCCTAGAGCAGGATTGATTTATTTAGATACTGTATTTCTCTATGAAAAGATCACAGTAATTGGAAGGGATGTCTTTGCAGCAAATGCTTTGACAGGGGGACTTGGGCAATGTTACAGGGTTACTGAAAAACCTTTCTAACTAATACAATGACCTCAATATCAGAGTTAGTACCTCACAAATTGGTTGCCATGCAAACTTCTTGAATCCGCCAAGAACGAACAGAGGTATAGGGATGTCTCGCAGCACTTGAGCGCTCCTTCTTTCGTCTCGTTCAGACCAGCATGCTTGAAGCTACACGGGAAAGAATGGCACGGGCCAAAAGACGAGGCAGGCCTCATCATCACAGTATGGTGGTTTTGGCCTCTCTAAATGCCCATGATACTCCCTTGCTTGTGTGTGTGCGTGGGTGTATTCTTTATATTTTTAACCCTCTTGTTCTTCCTTCTTTAAGCTTCTGTTCCCCCTTTCTCAGTGCAGGATAGGAAGCACAAATATTTTTCACTGGTTAACTTCTCTGCCTTTCTCTTATGCTCTCTCTCTTGGCATGCTGGACACCAGAATTGTTATCACCCTCAACTGGGTAGAAGAATGAGCATGGGCACCAGTCAGAGTGTATTCCAGTCGCATGGAGAACTTTATAGATTGTAATCAAGTCTAATTGGGATAAGTTTTCTAGATTGTGACGTACCCTCTTATACAGCTTACATAAACAAGCCCATTGCGATCAAGAAGTTTCATCATGATTAAACATGGCCTGTGGTTCAAAAAGAGGAGGGCTGTACTGCAGATTCACCCAAGTAATGCTAAAAAAAATTATCACTCTCCAAGTCTGTTTTGGCAACCCAATGAGCTCGTTTGCACTTGAGATCTAAAGGGTCCTTCGTCCACGTCTGTTTAGGCTTCTAGCATCGACAAGTAACCTTGACAAAGTAATGACTAGACATCCATATGCCTTTTTTCCTTCATCCTACATCATTTTAAGAATGCAAAGTTACTTGCGGACATCAGCAGAGCCATTTTGGTGACAATGCAATCTCGATGTTTTTCAGCATGTAAATTGATACTGTGGTTTATTTTTTTAACTACATCCATTGAAGTGATATGACGAACAAAGTCAATTTCGATGTGTGCCATTATCTACTTGCTAGTAGACATGATTTTTTTATAATGAACTTTTTCATTACTTGTTCATAATTTAGTAAATACCATGGGCAGCTGTTTTAACTCTCCCCTGCAATGAAAATGTTTTTACCGGTGGCCATGGAGCCCTGAACAGTGCCTTACCAGCATGGACGAGCCGTGTTGATACCAGTGTTTTTGTAGGGAATGAGTGTAGATGTGTAACCACATGTCATGATGCCAGCTGTATCCATTTACTTGGCCATGTTTGACCTTTTGTTACTTTTTTAATGGCATGCCTTTTCATGCTTGTGTGTATCTCGTCTTTAAAGAATCTCACATACGTAGTTGCCTTTTTGTGCACTTTTAGCAAGAAAGATTAGCATTGCCTTTCTTGGTTCTTGTTCAGACAACCACTGTGTGTGAAAATTGATGCAGCTTTTGAAATATATCTACATATTTACACTTTGGTCATTGCTGTGTCATTTTAATGCACACTTCAAACCAATTTCGTGTGTTACTGCAGTAACGACCATCCACTTGTTGACGTAAACATCAGTTAGCGTTGCTGTAAAACGTAGTCAACGAGAGTTGCGATGTGGGCTTGTTGGCGATGCATTTGATAGAAATTTAAGTAGCGCGAAGCAAAATATGGAAACAGGAAGGCTCAGATGAACCTGTTCATCTTTGCCCTCCTGCTAAAGTCAACGAATGGTGACTTTTACGATCAGCAGCGAGTGATGCGAAAAATCGTCATCATGTGATGATGTCATCCTATACTGTCACAGCACGCAGAAATTACTAGGTCAAAGCTGACAGAACCCCAAAAGCACTCTGTAAAATCATGTTAGGTGCAGAAAACATCTAAGTCGGGCAATCGGTACAGTCAACTTGGAAGAAAGAGAAGGTGCTTCTCTCTTTAAAGTCATCACAGGCAAATGGGACCATGTGTGTTTTTTTATGTTCAAAACCATGCTCTACACTACAGAAATAGCATGCTTTCAACATCAAATAACGTACATTTTTTTCATGTTTTTTTAAATGAGACAGAAGTTAAAGGTTGAGGACAAGAAGTCATGAAAGGGGACCTGCAACACTCTTTCGAAGTAAATAACCATTGAATGGCTTCATTACAGTTTATTACATCACAAATTGACTGTTTTCAAAATTTTCAGGATCTGTCAAGTACGAGCAGAGTTGCAGAACTGTCACGGGCTCCAAATGCTTTCTCTTGTTCTGACAAGTACGTTGGAAGCTGAGCTGGGAGGGATGACACTGGGAAAGAAGTCATGAGATATGTCACGACTTGGCCAATAGGATTTGAGGAGAAGACTTCCTTTACCACGGCCCTCATGAATACAAGCCCCATATTTTGAAACAGTGGCCCCCAACAGTTTCTCATTGAAGCTCCAGCTAGGCACTTCCCTCACATCTACATTTACCAGGACAGTATTCAAGGATTGAAATGCGACATTCTTTTTTCATTACAGCAACCACGATGAGAAATCGCTCACAACCGCACCATGTCAGGGCAAATCTGGCCGCTAAAGGTAATGCTTGCTACAATTTTTTTTTTCTCTGTCAGAATTGGGCCAATATAAGACAAAGCATAGATTTTGACAATGAGAGTATGGGCATAACCTATTCCTAAATTCTCACATTTCAACGTGCGATCACTGCACGTACTGCACTCCTCATAGTGTAAATTTCTAACGACTAAAGAAAGGACATCAAAACCAAACTGTAAAAGTGCACAGAGCAAATGTTAAAGGCCACCTGAAGAAAATTTTCGCTTTGACCAAGTTTGTTGCATACACACACCACATGCCATCAGTTTCAGTTTATTATCGTAGCATTTGAAAGCAATCAACTTTCTCTGTGTGTAAAAGAAAGTCCTGGTTAAAATCTTGAAAAAAAAAAAAGAAAAAGGATATTGGCAAGGTTTCAATGGTCAGAGCTTCCGATGAATCGGATCAGTCTTGTTTGCCAGGAAGTGACATTGCTATTTGGAAGTTGGTGAACTGAGAAGAGGACATCACAACCTTCCAAACTCTCTGCAAACTCTCTATGCAGTCGGTTATTTCATTTCATCAGGTTCCAATATGCATAGGCAGATCAGACAATCAAGTGAGAGTGCCAAAATGAAGATATGAGATGTAAATTCATAAGCAGCAAACAAAAAACACGAAAATCAGAACAATTATTACAGAAGCTGTAGAGCTAAACAAGGCACGTGATTTCTATTCAATATTAATGAAACATGGAGTGTTGCAAACATATGCAGGCTTGCTGCACAAGGTGGGTATGATGAGTTAGTTTGACAAGAAATGTTACATTAGTAACGTACAACTTTTAAAAGAAGTGGCATTTCCACCTCAAAGAATTTCTTGAATAAAAAAAATTCGAAATTGTAATTTCCTAAATTGGGAAAAAATGTCTTAAAAGATTCACATCGATGGTGTTCGTATTGATGACAAGATGCCATTGCAGCACATTTTAATATCCATTCTCACAGCGTGTTTTCTGTTCTTTTAAAAACAACGTTAATCCAGCTATTGTCGCTATGCTTCTTGACCAGAAGACAAAAGCATCACGAGGCCCAGGTGACCTTTCAAATGTTCATCAATATTCTGAAGCAGTTGCCCCATTTCTTGCATACATTTTTGGCCGGATGACTGGTGAACAGCATGTGTAAGGTGCGCACTCAAGAAAGGGGACATAGCACTTACAAATTAT